ACGAGGGCAACTTATCTTACCTAATCCCAGAAGGATCCGTGCTCAGCCACCAGTCTCTGGCAGTCGGTGACAGTTGTCGTCCACGGGAGGTACCAAAGTCCCTCTACCCCATCCGTTCTGCATAGCACCTGCGCCTGCACGCCTGCCGCCGCCGGCCTGCTACTTCGTGGTGTCCTGTTGTGGTCCTCGCAGCGACTGTGAGGTACTGCGTCTCCAGTTCAACAGCCCAAAACCCACAGGTGGTACGGCGTGCCCACCCAATTCCTGCACAGTCGGTGCGATTGCAGTCTGTCCAGTTGGGTTGATGATGCAGGCGAGAAGCACCAGACCACACCTTCCACTGTCCACTGTCCACTGCCACTGCCACTGCCTCAAACCTCCACCCGTCAACCTCATCCCCCTCTTACAACAACGACCATATGCCGTCTGCGTGCCTCTCTGGAGTCCCAATGCGCATCTTCAACACCACTTCTTCTTCTTCCTCCAAACCCATTCTGTCATTGACCGACTGTCGAATTTGCTTTATCTAAACCTTTCTATCCAAGCCCCAACTCCCGCGTCAACAGCGCCTCCCACTGTCAACAGTGTCAAGGCCTGTTCCTGGCTGGCTGCCGCCGCACCGCTGGGGCCGTCTCCAGCTGTCCAGACTCCCAAAGCACCGCTCTCTCTACCTTAATATTTGCACCGCCGCTAGCACGTTAGGGGAGGTCGGCTTCCTGGTCCCGCGTCGTCGTCTCACACTTCACACCTGGGCCCCGCAAACAACTTCAGCTTTACCGACGATCCAGAGATTCCACCCCCCATCTACCTTCAACCTCTCGCGTCTGGCTCTCTTCTTTCGCTGCCCGATCGCTCATACCTTTTTTCTTCATCTGCCAACCTTTGATGCGTCGTTACCTTGTCGCAACTCACCCGCCAATCCCCGACTCTAGCTTCCACCCCCTGCTCTTCGCATCCAAAAGCGACGCTTTCCTGACAACCCAACCCCAGCCCTCGCCGAGCAACAGCGACAGCGACAGCGGCAGCGGCAGCGAAAGCAACGCCCTCCTTTCATCATCACGTCGACATCGATCTGCCGACGCGCTCGCTGCCACCTAGACACCCACCGCGACCACGCATCACCCTTCATTCAACTGCGCAGCTCGCCATCCGGGCCGTCTACCAATCCGCCCGCATCGCCTGCCCACATTCGACGACACCCGGCCGATATTGAACCCCCTGCAGCAGCAGCACCACCACCTGCACCTCGACCGTCCGCCCTGCGCTCCTCCATATCCCGAATCGTTGGACCTGCGTCCATTGCGGTTTACTGTCTCTAGTTGCAGCTTTCGAGTCGGCGAGTCTGTCACCCCACGGAGAGAGGGAACACTACAGTGACGTCCACAATGAAGCGCTTCAGCCAGAGGGTGGTGAGTTGTCTCCGTCAATACCCGTTGCCCCTGAAGCCCAATCCCGCTGCTGAACACGATATTGACAACCCAGCATGCTCAGCTCTCGCGCGGCAAAGACCCCAATAAGCCTAAGAAGAACAAGGACGCCAAAGATGGCACCGCATCCCCCGGCGGTGCTGGCTCAGGCCGAGATGCCAACCAGTCACCCAACCCGACACCCTCGTCCTCCACCACGAACCTCGCCGACGCCCGTAACAAGCCCCTGCCTCCTAACAATGCCGGCGGAGAGCACGGCACCGCGAACCAGCCCTCTCCATTGAGCAACCAGCAAGGTGCCGACCGCTTCGGCTCTGCGGGTGCTGCCCAAGGTGCTAACGGTGGAGGTTCTCCAGGCCGTCATGGAACTTTGCCGCCTACCGTCATCATCAGCCCCAGTGCTCCGGTAAGTCTTGTGGCAGACATCTTTTACGTTGCTGATCGCTGATCGTTGACACTTCCACTCCAGCATGTCCCACCTCCCGGTGCCGCAGAGACCATGCCGCACGATCTCGCGCCCCCCAAGGCCGGCACCAAGTCGCTCATGTTCGATCGCCTCCACCAGACTCCCAAGGACGTCCCCGAGGGTCTCAGGACACCCAAGCGACAGCACTCTTCACGATTCGACATCTCGGCCCACCGCGAGCTCGAGAAGCTCCCCGGCTTCCATGAGGTGCCCCCTAATCGCCGCCAGGAGCTGTTTATGCAAAAGATTGACCAGTGCAACGTCATCTTTGACTTTAACGATGCCAGCGGTGACATGAAGTCCAAGGAGATCAAGCGACTGGCGCTCCACGAGCTGCTCGACTACGTAGCTAACAACCGCCAAGTCATTACGGAACCCATGTACCCCAGAGTCGTCGAAATGTTCGCCAAGAACCTCTTCCGACCTATCCCTCCGCCGATGAATCCCCAGGGCGAAGCGTTCGATCCCGAGGAAGACGAGCCCGTCCTGGAGGTTGCATGGCCCCATATTCAGGTCGTCTACGAATTCTTCCTCCGATTCATCGAGAGCCAAGACTTCAACACCAACATTGCCAAAGCCTACATTGACCACAGCTTCGTCCTCCAGCTGCTGGAGCTCTTCGACTCCGAGGACCCGCGCGAGAGGGACTTCCTCAAGACAACCCTGCACCGAATCTACGGCAAATTCCTCAACCTCCGCTCCTTCATCCGCCGCTCCATCAACAACGTCTTTTTCCAGTTCACATACGAAACGGAAAGATTCAACGGCATCGCCGAGCTTTTGGAGATTCTGGGTTCCATTATCAACGGATTTGCCCTGCCGCTGAAGGAGGAGCACAAGACCTTCTTGACAAGGGTGCTGATACCATTGCACAAAGTCAAGAGTCTGAGCATGTACCACCCGCAGTTGGCATACTGCATTGTCCAGTTCCTCGAAAAGGACGCGTCGCTGACGGAAGAGGTGAGTTGTCTTGTGTCTCTGTCGTAGACTGAGCTAACGTGTACAGGTCGTCCTCGGCCTCTTGCGATACTGGCCCAAGGTCAACAGCACAAAAGAGGTTATGTTCCTTAACGAGGTCGAAGACATCTTCGAAGTTATGGATCCAGCCGAATTTGCCAAGGTGCAGGAGCCTTTGTTCCACCAGCTTGCCAAGTCTGTAGCCAGCCCTCACTTCCAGGTCGCAGAGCGAGCGCTCTACTTTTGGAACAACGAGTACTTTTGCAACCTGGTCAGCGATAATGTTGAGATTATCCTGCCCATCATGTTTGCGCCGCTCTATGAGAACTCAAAGGGCCACTGGAACCGGTGAGTACAGATGCTCGACAGATCCCAGGACCCGCTGACCAAAGACAGCACCATTCACGGCATGGTGTACAACGCCATGAAGCTGTTCATGGAAATTAACCCCCAACTATTCGACGACTGCTCTCATGACTACACCGAGCAGCAGAACAGCGCCGCGGCCAGGGAAGCCTTGCGCGAGAGGAAATGGGCTTCCATCTCAGACCAGGCCGAGCAAAGGCGATCAGCAAACGGCGCACCGACCGCGGGTAGAGCCCACGCCGGATCTCTTTCCCGCGTCGACGAGGTTGACGGCACCGAGGACAACCAGAAGCGACTAGATTCTCTTAAGCTGCAGGATGGAGATCGCAGGGATCGTCGGCAAGAGCAACAAGACTCGGTATGATCAGCCCACAGCACGCATGATTTTACTGTCATTTGTTCCTGCTCGGCGTGCCTTTGCGCTACTTTCTGTTTGACTTGATGCGCATCACGGACCATCGATTAACATGACGGATTCTAGGACGCGGAAGAGAACGGCGAAGTCAAGGCCGAGGCGGACGAGGAGTCATGACGGGGACCGACATCACTGAATGATATGCCTTCAACCGGTTGAGGGGTGATTTTCAAAAAGGGGAAACTCATGCATGAGTTGTATGCTGGAGGGAATGATTCAGAGGATCACCCAGGAAACGACTTTGGTGCGGAGGGGAAAGAAAGGTTTCCGTGCGCTAGGGATGGGGCCTCGCAGCCCCCGGGAACATACTTAATTTTCATGATGTCACTTCTTTTGTTTTCTCTTTTTTGCGTGGAATACAGACTCGACTCGAGATCGAGTTGTTTCTCCCGCCCGCCGTTTTTTTTTGGGGTGACAGAGACTTGGTGAGGGGTTCGCGAAAAGAAAAACGTTATTGTGAGAGCACAAGAAGGCGTGGACGAACGAGAAAGATGGGACTGGCGTACAAAGGACGAGATTCAGGGAGGGAAGACAGACGATGCTTTTCTCCTTCTTTTTCTGCGCGAGCCTCCTGTTTGCTGCAACCCGAACCGGGGGAGCGGACGAAAGAAGGGGGGCTCGCGAGGAATCGAGGGGAAGGGGAATGGTGATGGTTTTTTTTTAACCTCCTTGATTTTCTGTCTTGGACGATGAATGAGTACTGGCGTGTGATTCCGCCACAATTTTAGACTTGGGTAACAAAAAAAACGGCTTACGCAGAACTGTACTTTGAGCGTTACTTGTCATGTTTAATGGCGTGTATCTTTTTGCTAATCTGCAGGTTCTGTGCTATGATCTCGGATGACCTCACCACCCTCCTCTGCCGCGATCAGAGCCCCCGCCCCGTCCCCCGCGTCCACGGTACCCGCCGCCGTTGCCTCTTCCGTACTGCTGATAGTGATTATGCTGCTGCTGCGGCTGCTGCGGTGGAGGAGGTGCCGCCCACCCGCCCATGTGCGGTGACGGGACCCCTGGGCCCGGTGGCGGAGGAGCCCAGCCGTGCGAGGGAGGGGGCCCGCCTAGATGAGGTGGTGGAGGAGGCGGCGGTGGCCATTGACCCTGATAGCCTTGCGGAGGCGGTGGCGGCGGCGGAGGGAAGCGACCAAAGCCGCCTGGCGCCTGTGGTAGGGGCGGGGGGTACGGCGGGAAGGCTTGTTGCGAGTTGTAGCTCGACGGAGGGGGCGGCGGCGGCGGCGGCGGCGGCTGCTGCTGTCCCCAGCCGGTGGTGGTGTGCCCTCCTGCCCCAAAGTCTGGAGGGTTGTGGTGACGATTGCGATCGGGTGGTGGAAATGGTGACCTGCTCGCGTTGGCGCGGCCCCTGTCCCTATCTCTATCTCTTGCTGGGCCATGGTCGCGCGACGTTGATCTTGATCTGTACCGAGGACGCGACCTCGACCGGGATCTTGATCTTGATCTTGACCTGGACCTGCTGTAGTCTCTCGAATCGTAACGGTTGCCTCGCCCGCGACCCCGGCTCCGACTGCGGCTGGGCGTCCGCGAGCCCGGCGACACTCTGCGTCGTTTAAAGGCCGGCGGAGAGTCGCTCCTGCTGGATCGGCTACGGGAGGAGCTCCGAGAACGGCTCCTCGAGTCGGACCGCCCACGGCCGCGGTCGGGTGCTCCCCCCTTGGCCTTTTTCTTCCGCTGCTTCATCTTCTCGCAGAACCTGCGGGACCATCCGTAGTACGTCTCCCCGTCAATGACCTCGCCCGTGATCTCGTCGAGAACGACCCGCTCACCCATCTCGCTGAGGCCGGTGTTCTGCTGCTGATCATCTTGCGGGGCCGCGCCTGGATTGTAGAGCCTTTCGACGTCCGCAAGCAAGTCCTTGACCGCCTTGGCGAGGGCCTTGTCCGCCGGCCCTGGGGCGAGCTGCAGCGGCTTGATCATGTCTGGGTTCATGGCCTTTGTCGAGTTTGGCGTGAGGTGCGGCAGCCAGTTCGCGGCCGGGAGGTCGAACCAGGGCGTGTTCGGGTCGCCGTGGATTGAGGGGATCATGTATGGCGCATCTTTGGCGGGCCTCGAGCCGAGATTCGACCCCGTCTGGCCCTGTTCTCCCTTTGCCACCTTGCCGCCGTGAGGAGCTTCTTTGACGGTCTCGCGGAGGTCATCGATGACGATCGCCGGAAAGTACTTTTGCGTTTCCCACAGCGCCAGCAGATCCTCGAGCTTTTTTGCGTGTTTGGGGTAGTTTGGAAACTTGGCGGTGCCGTGGAGTAAGGGCGTCAGACTGGCCTCTATGGCGGTCGCGAAGCGCGCATCCCGATCCCGCACTGCGACGTGGTAGAGGACGTCGTTGATGAGGTAGAGAATGTGCAGACGCTTCCTCCGCGTCGAGGGCTTCGTCTTGCCGTCATCGGGAAACGAGTTGGAGAGGGCGGCCAGGTACTTGCCGACAGCGCTGACGCGCGCCGGCGAGGGGACCAGGTTCTTGAGGATCCAGCGCTTGCATTTCTAGAGAGAGGCGGCGGGAGTTTAGTCGACCTTGCAACCACACAGAGGAGCGCACACAGAGATGTGTAGAGATGGAGAGAACAGCGGCAATAGTAGAGGCCGCTGGAGGGCGTCAAACCTGAACGTTGGTCGGCGAGCACTGGTGTATCGCGTCGTGAAGGAGGGTGTGGAAGCTCTCGATCTCGGGCCTGGTGAGCGAGACGGGTTCTTTGCGGAAGAGGATGGCGCTGAAGGAGGCCTTGGCTATCGCTAGCTCAGGGTTCGCCATTGTGACCCGGTCGCATGCCTGCTGGGTGGGATTGGGGGTAGCAGGCGGAAAGTGACAGACTTTGAGGTGAGGTTGAAGTGGGATGTCGAGGTCGAGCTAGAGCTGAGCAAAAGGACGACGTGCCGCCACAAGCTGCAACGGCCGCGACAGCTGGGTGCTTAGGGCCAAAGTGGCTTAGCTCGGATTTGAGGCTGGAGGGCAGAATCGAGGGTTCTGCGGCATCTTCCGGAAGGACCCATCTGCCCAGTGCGAACAGTGGCTCGCCTCTTAGCGGTTTGAGCCGATCCGCCACCTTGTGCTTGAAGTCAACAAGATTGAGGTGTTGGCATTGAGGCAATTGCGCACACCTTGCCGATACAGAGCGATCAATCGTATGCGGGTGATTGAGAGGCTCTTTGAACGATGGAGGCATTGCTGTCGAGAGTGGTGCATTGCGTGAATTCACCAATGGAGACGTCGAAGCATGCTCGAGATGTAATGAATCATTGACAAGCCCCAAACCCAGATACTGCTTTTTCAAATCACCAACGCGAAGCCCGAAAGATGCAAACGCAAGAAATAGGGCATCGTTTCTTCGTGTCGTCCTCAATGATACAATGTACAGCCAGAACCGGCCGAGCAAACAATTATACTACACGAGCTTTGGGCCAATCCATCCACCGCCTTGGCCCCGTGGCTATGAGAACCGATCTCCCTTTGGACTCTTGAACGGCACACTACTTTCGTATTTGCTCTTCTCCGTCACTCTCTGGGCTTCGGTCACCGGGGCGTGGCGGGTTGGGGCGGGATCGGAGCTGGACTCCTGGCTGGGGGAGCCGGCGGTATCGATGCGCGCGGCCCCGGCCATGGCGGACGCGGAGCCGGGCTGGGAGGGGACGTTGTCGCCGTACTCAAGAGACTGGACCATCGCCTTCTTCTGGCGCTGCTCCTCGAAGCGGGCTGCACGATCGGCGTTGATGCTCTGCTTGGCAAAGTAGTAGGCAGCTCCGCCGGCTGCGACACGTTAGCTGCGCTCGGAAAAGTATTCAAGTGACAACAACGACGTACCTGCGCAGAGGGAGCCCCATCCGAGCCTGCGAGACGAAAGAGTGTCAGTGTTGTTGATCGACGAGGAAAGCGGTTTGCGACCAGGACGACGAGTCAAGCCTACCAGAATGATTTGACCTAGGATTAGGCTTGATGTCAGCCAAGAACTTGAAACCATGTGCGACGGCTGGCGAGGAACTTACGGTGTTCATGTTTGCGGTGGGACGTGAGAGTTTGAGGATTTGGACAGGTCGGTTTTGTTGCAGTTGAGATAGCTGTGTTGTTTGGTCTGAACAACCAAAGAAAGAAAGAAAAAATGTAGCCCTGTCTGCTGGCTCAAGGACGATTGGGAACCCGGTCGATCGGAGCGCAAGCTACCACTGAGCAATGAGGACGCACTGTAGAAAGTGGGATGGTCTGATGATGGAGCTCGAGAATCCCCGATTGCTTGGCCTTTTGCACCGTGCACGCGAGCTGTGGACCCCGAAAGATGAAAGAGGTTAGCCACACTTCAGTCACTGACCAACTGACAGAACATCTTGGGTTGCACCTATATTGTAGCCAGGCTGGAAATTCTTAAGAAAAGACTAGAGAGTCCTAAGTAGTACCGTGTACCTGTGATGGTGGTTGAAACATTTCTCTACTAGGAAAGGGAACCCAGGGCTGAGGAACGGCAGGAGATGCTTCAGCCCAAGGTGCCAGCTTCGTCGGCTCACGGCTTCAAGCTGAGGTAAGCGGGTACGTAGTCCCAGACCCCAGACACGGGACAGGTGCGCCGGACTCAACGACCGCTGTGCTGTGCGTGCCTGCCACGCCTGCGAGGAACGTACTGCGTAGTTTACAAGGGGTGCCTTCAGCCTGTGAAGTCGCCTAATTACGGAACGACTAGTGTCCAAACCTTGAAGTTCCTCAGGACCCAAGGCGGCAAGGCCAACGGCGGCGGCCCTGGTCTCATCGTCTCCCCCAGCCGCGAGGTACATGTCCCCAAGTACCTTGTGGCTGAGGGCCTCCGTAATCCGCATCTCGAATTCTCGACAAAGTACTCCGTATTGAGCTCGCCCAGAGTCCCGCAACTGGGCTTTCAACCCTGGGCCCAACTGGTGAGGCTGACAGAGATGGAGACGCTTGCTTGGCAGGGTCATATGTCATTACGGGGACTGCTAAACCCAGACGGGCCATAATGCTGCGGCGGGACAGGCACGACGGCAGGTCGCAGCGCAAGTCGTAATTGACGGCAGTGTTTGGATGGCGAGTCCCCTCAAACCTTACGTACATCCCACCACGTACCGCTCCCCCTCCTCTGTCTGTCTGTCAGTGTCGGTTACCACCCACCCTTTGCCTTACCTCAAGGTACCTACAGACGCTTGTTCTGGTGTGCACGGCGCCGCAAAGCACTACTGCGGCCTACGTGCCTAGCATACGTTTCCCTTTTCTCCCCTCCCCTTCCCTGCCGTGCCTACCCACCTGCCCACCTGCCCTGCCTCATCTCGGAGAGCGGTACTTCCCTCCATCCCCCAGACTGGTGCGCCAACACAGGTACCGGCGAATCAGGTACACCATCCACACACTGCCGTCCCAGCAAAACGGCTACGCAGTACCTTACGGAGGGAATCTTATTGCTCCAAGGGGCCATTGCAATGCCACTTCGTCGTCAATCACAACCTCCCGCACCTTGCCTACTGCCACTGCTCCAGAAAAACACCCGAAGCTTGCTTTCCCTCTCACCTCCCACGCGCCCATCGTGACGGCAACCTGGCCATGCTCCCCTTCGCATCTCGCTAGCTTCGAAACATCCGCCCAGCATCATTATGCTCCTCAGCCCTCTTGCACGGCCGTCCATCCCACTTGTCAGAATCTCCCCGACTACACGCGCGCAACAAACTCTCGCTCTCACGCCCGCTTACGCATCCTTGCGACGACACTCGACGACCTCGTCAATCCACGACCAGCAACCTACTCTGCTTGGCTAAGCCGGCGACAGACCACACGCCGTTGGAGGGCTCATGACGATACACTGGCAGCCGTGGGTGTAATGGGTATCGGCACCCTAGGCTCCCGCTGTCGTTTCTGCTACAACCATGGCTCCTCCCGCTCAGAACGGGCCTGATGGCTCATCACTTGTACGCCGCCCTGTCTTTTTGTCTTGTTACAATGCTGAACGTATCCAGAAACCCGTCTCGTCGCTGAGGGCCAAGTTCGAGAACATGAACAAGAATGGCGAATCTGCCGCCGCGCCTGGTCCCTCCCCGCCCCGAACCATCTCTCCGGCCCCGAAGCCAGAGTTCCTTCGAGATGCGAAAGCCTCCTCCGAAAGCCTCCAAAGCCTCCCAATCCCCCCGAGACCCCGTGAGCGCGCGAGCATCTCGGCACCGTCACTCCCGCCTCCTCTGCACGAGCCCGTCCCTCGCTCGCCCGGCCGCTCTCTCGGGGTTCCTCCCACCTTGAAACCGGAGCCGATCAAGGCTCCTTCGGTCCTGGTAGAACCGCCTCAGTCACCGCCCAAGAACTCCATCTCGAGGTTCTCCATCGCCGAGGCACCGGCCTTTTTAAACGCCGCCGACTCCGGCTCTTCCACCCCCACCACGCCAACCACCTCGCGAGCCTTCAAGATCCCAAGTCGGCCGCACACCCCTTCGCTCGATCCGCGACGTTCACCGAGGTTGTCTGCTTCACAGCCGCCTTCACCACCGCCGCCGAGACGATCTGGCGAGATACGGAGGGACAACAAGCCCGCTGTGCCCCCGCCAATCAACCGTGCCGAAAAGCCGTCGATGCGAGACCAGCCAAAGGCCCCCTACTACGCAGATCACCAAATCGGGGCTACCGAAATCAGGGGCAAGCTCAGGGAAGAGACGTCTCCCTTTAGCAGCCCGCCTGGAAGTCCCGATAGTATCCACGAACCGGCCCCTCCAACGCTCCCCACCAGGCCAAAGGCGCTCGCAACGCTGACGGAACCACCGCCGCCCCAGAGAGGCAGACCGATCGATGTCGGGTTCGCGCCGCCCCCCGTTCATCATTCCATCATGACCAAGAGGAGCCAGCGGGAGCAGGAGACGAATGGGTTCATCAGGGGTCAGATCACTCCGCAGATTACGGGTGACCGGCCCAGTGTACCCGCTCTTCCCGCAAGACCGCAGACCGTTGCGGAGCCTCCGCCGCGACCGCCGGTCACGATGAAACCGCCTCCGCGGCCTCCAAGAGCAGGCGGCGTCAACACCCACGTCGTCAGCCACTCCGTCAGCCACTCCGTCAGCCATTCTGTCGACTTCCAGCCCCCGCCCAAGCGAATCGTCTCGACGCCGACAACAACACATCTTCCGCCACCATCACGGCTACCGGGGCGTGCGAATACAGTCACGGACCGGACGTCACCGCGCCCGCCGCCTCCTCAACCACCTCAGCCAGTGCAGCATGTCCAGCCGGTGCAGCCTCCACCGCCACCTGAGCCGACTGTCTCTCTGATTCCCTCCAGCAATACGTCAAAGGTCGAGATCAACGGCAACATACCAAATTTCCCGGATCCTGCAAACGTTAATCGACGACCGCCCTACATAAAACACGGCATGCACGAAATCCAGACCAAATACGATCCGCGAACGTTTGACGTGTGCGGCGATCTCATCTGCACGACGGGCCACCTCACACGAGTGTGGAACCTCCGAGACGGCGAGTTGTTGATGAGTTTTGCTCACGGCGAAGGCATCAAGGCCACGACTGTGGCTTTCAAGCCTGGCTTGAATGTGGACGAGGAAGGAAAGAGACTATGGATTGGAAACAACTTTGGCGAATTGATGGAGGCCGACATTGCGACGCAAAGTGTGGTCGCGAACAAGCCAGGGGCTCACGGCCGGCACGAGGTTGTCAAGATTTACCGCCACTTCAACGAGATGTGGTCGTTGGATGAGAATGGCGGCTTGCTCGTTTGGGCCCCGGACGAGGAAACGGGGACGCCGAATCTGACCAACAATGCACACCAAGCGTTCCGCCTACCCAAGGGCCATTCGTTCTCCATGATTGTCGGGGACGAGCTATGGCACGCGACGGGCAAAGAGATCCGCGTCTTTGCGCCATCTTCAGACGGACAAACTCAATTCCAAGTGTTGGTCCGCGCTCTGGCACAGGATACGGCGGGTGAGGTGACTTCGGGAACGCAAGTGCGGTCACAGCCGAACAAGGTATTCTTTGGCCACGCCGATGGAAAGGTATCCATTTACAACACGCAAGACTTTTCGTGTCTGGGCATCGTCAACTTGAGTTCGTGGAAGATCAACTCTCTTGCGGGGGTTGGCGATCACCTCTGGGCAGGCTTCAACACTGGCAAGATTGGTGTCTATGACATGGAGCCCACGCCCTGGGCACAGAAGAAGGACTGGCAGGCTCACGAAAAGAACCCCGTCGTAAAGCTCGTCTCGGATGCATCGAGTTGTTACAGGCTGGATCGCCACCAGGTCATCTCTCTCGGCGCCGACAACATGCTCCGCGTTTGGGACGGCTTGCTGCAGGACGACTGGCACGAGGCCGAGATGAAGGCCATGGACACGCAGTACTGCGAGTTCCAAGATCTCAAGGTGCTGTGCATGACGTGGAACGCGGGTGCTTCAACACCCCACAGCCTGCGATACGCGCAAGAGGATGCCGAGTTCATCAAGAGCCTGCTCACGTCCAACAGCTCGCCAGACATTCTAATATTTGGGTTCCAGGAGCTGGTGGACCTGGAAGACAAAACCGCAACAGCCAGTAGGTCACCCCTTTTCCAAGCAGAAATCAAGCTAACCGCAGAAGAACGCTTCCTCAAGGTGAAGAAGAAGGAGGGCTCGGACCAGGAGCGCATGAGCCATCAGTATCGCGACTGGAGAGACTTCCTCCTCAAGAGCCTCGACGACTACATGCCTCCGGACTGTCTGTATCACCTGCTCCATACTGCCACGCTGGTTGGGCTGTTCACTTGCATCTTTGTCAAGTCGACGCTTAGAGATCGGATCCAGAACCTCAGCGCGGCAGAGGTTAAGCGAGGCATGGGAGGTCTTCACGGTAACAAGGGCGCCATCGTCGTGCGATTCATGGTGGACGACTCGTCCATGTGCTTCATCAACTGTCACTTGGCCGCCGGTCAGTCGCAGGCCAACAGTCGCCATAACGACATTGCCGCCATTCTCGAAGCGCAAATTCTGCCGCCCGAGCGAGACCCCAGCGCTCGCCTCGACAGCTATGTCGGCGGCGGAGACGGCACCATGATATTGGACCACGAGCTGTGTCTGCTCAACGGCGACCTGAACTACCGCATTGACACCATGTCGCGCGACACGGTCGTCATCGCAGTGAAGCAGAATAATCTCGCCAAGCTTCTCGAGCGAGACCAGCTTCTAGTGGCCAGGCGGCGCAACCCTGCCTTTAAGCTCCGCGCTTTTGAAGAGATGCCAATCACTTTTGCACCGACGTACAAGTACGACGTCGGAACGGACAATTACGACACGAGCGAGAAGAAGCGTTCCCCCGCGTGGTGCGATCGGCTGCTCTACCGCGGCGGTGGCAGGATCAAGCAGGTGGACTACAAACGACACGAAGTTCGCGTCTCTGACCACCGACCCGTCACCGGCAGATTTAAGTTTACCGTCAAGAAGATCCAGCCCAAGGCGCGGGCGATGGCGTGGATGGACTGCCAACAGAGATTCGAGGACCTCAAATGGACCGAGGTCGACAATGACAAGTGAGTGATGTTGGACTTGGGAGGGTGGATTTTGTACTAACTGGTCTAGGATGGCATACTTGGTAAATGTCATTGGCTATGACGAAGCCACGGCACGAAGCATCATCCATCCTGAAGCGGCCGCGTGAGCTGCTGACCACACACGACGTACAGACGACTACTCTCGAGCCAAGAAGGGTTTATTAGATGACGAGATCAGCATGAAGTCGGATGAAACACAAGGTTCATGAATGGTGGTATGGCCTTGGAAGACATTTTTAACGAAACGAATGGGCCTGGAGGCCGGAAAAAAAGGGAATCACGAACGGAGCGGATGGATCGCATGATGCAAAACAAAAAACACACTCTTGAAGCGTCCCACGACTTTTTTTTCATTTTGGCATTTAATGGCGTAGCTTAGACAGAGAGAGACAGAGAGACCAAGAGGAGCTTTTGGGGGTTTGCACCCATCACCCATTCCGCTACGACGTCGGCAAAGCTGGAAACTGAAGAGGGCATTCATGGAGAGAACCTTCTTTGGTGCAAAATCGTAGCGTGTGCTGGCCACCGAGTAGATAAAGGGGGGAAAGGGGGTTTGAATCGGTGACGGGCGACGGGCATCGAATCAGATAAAAGCGGTAATGAGAAAGAGAAGAAAAAAAAAAGATGAATCCAAGATTTCGCTTGCACGAGGGTCGTTGATGCTTTAGACTGTAGACTGACCTTTGGCCAAGACTTTTTGGGGGCCACAACTCCCTAACCCCCCCCCCCCCCCATCCCGCCATGCATATTTAGAACCCAGATCACTGGCTGCGGCTAAGGCTAAGGCTGCCAGCACGAGTGCGGCGAGGTTGTGTTTCGTACCTTGCATAAGAGCTCTTCATCCTGACGTTGGGGGGGGGGGGGGGTTTGCATGAGTACTGGCGAGTCAGGGGGAAGGGGGGCTTTTGGGTTGTGTTGCCGATCACGACGTTGGAAGTCTTGGACGTTAGGTATGTCACGACGTTTAAGCTTTTGGTGATACATTGACGAGCGAGATACATGGCACACGGACGAAGAGTTTGGCAACGCATTATGGGCCCGTGATCAAAAAAGCTGTATTATTCCCAAGCATATTTTTCTATCAAACTGACAGGCGAAGTGAATGGACTACATTTCTACAATGCGTGCTGTTGGGCCGGAGTTTCTTTTTTTTGTGGTCTCTCCAAGTCTATGTTTTTTTTTCGTTTTTTCCCTTTTCTCTCTCCATTTTTTTCCGTTTCCTAGTCTCGAATTCCAAAAACCAAAGACGACAACGTTCCGGGCAACATTGACAACACTACATGTTGAGCAGGGCCTTGGCGCCGGGCTCGCTGCAGACGTATAGGACGTCGTGCGAGTCGGGGAAGCCGTTGAACTTTGTGGCGGAGCATTTGGTGTAGGCGCCCATGTCCTCAAAGTAGAGCCAGTCGCCGACGTCGAGCTCGTGCTCAAACGAGATTGTCTCGGTGATGCGGTCGATGCCGTCGCAGGTGGGGCCCCAGACGGAGTAGCGGATGCCCTCGCCGTCCGGGCACGCGTTGGCGGCGCTGGTGTCGTACATGGTCTGGGGACCGGCGCGGAGGACTTTGGCGACGGGGTGCTGGTGGTCAAACATGATGCTGGAAAAGTTGCCGTAGAGGCCGTCGTTGACGTAGACCATGTAGCGCTTCTCGCCCAGGGACGGGTCGTCGACGGTGCGGCGGGCAATGATGTTGCAGGCAATGGTGAAGGCGGCCGAGACGTAGTAGCGACCCGGCTCGGCAATGATGTTGACGTTGCTGCTGGCGGGGAAGTACTCGTCGAGGGCACCGCGGAGGACGGCGGCCATGTCCTCAAAGGTGTCGCCGCAGAAACCGCCGCCAATGTCGAGCGTCTTCATCTCGAAACCGTAGGCGCGCGCTTGCTCAAAGACCTCGTAGGCGTCGTAGACGGCCTTGTAAAAGGCCATGGGGTCGGAGGCGCCGGAGCCGACGTGGAAGCTGACGCCGACGACGTTGAGGCCGAGGTCCTTTGCGACGCCGAGCAGCTCGTTGGTGGCCTCCTTGGCGGCGCCGAACTTCATGCTCAGGCGGCACAGGCTCGACTCGTCGTCGGTCATGATGCGGAGGTACAGCTCGGCCTCGGGGAAGAGCTTGGCAATCTTGCGCAGCTCGTCGGCGTTGTCAAAGGTCATTTGCTTGACGCCCATGGCCTTGACGTGGCGGACGTACGAGTTGGTCTTGCAGGGCTGGGCGTAAATGATGCGCTCGGGGGCGGTGCCCATGCTGAGGACCTGGTCAATCTCCGTCTTGGAGGCGCAGTCGAAGCCGGTGCCGAGGGCAGCGAGGAGCTGCAGGACCTTGGGGTCGGGGTTACACTTGACGGCTGCACTTGTTAGTGTGGTTTGATACCGGGGGTTATCACAGGACTCACCATAAAAGGGCTTGACGCGCGGCAGGTTGAGCTTCCAGCGCATGTGCTGGCGGTAGACCTCGCCGAGATCACCGACGAAGAAGGTGTCTTCGTCGCCTGGTTCACAAATCTCATGGTCGATGCTCTCGACACGCTGGCGGAGAGCATCGCCAATCAGCTGCTTGGGGTTGATCACTCCATGTTTGACGGGGTGATCGGCAAAGTGCGATGTTTTGAGGATCGGCTGGTGGTAGGTACTAGCATAATTGATAGTAGCTGGTGCAAAGTGCTCGATCGCGGCTGTTGCCATAACCATATCCAAGCGGTTGACGGGGTGGTGGTGGTAAGTTGAAGAGAGGTGTGTGGGTGGGTGGTCGGTCTGTGTTTCGACGCGTGGGCAGAATCAAAGTCTTGATACTGTCCCTGGGTTGGTAAAAAGCTAGAACAACACGAGAGTTCTAGGGTGGTCGAAAGCGGTAGCAGACAGATCCCTCAGTGATCTGACGAGGTCTTCTCGACTCCCCCTCGGCGAGAGGAAGAGCTGCAGAGCCCGTCTTATGCGGCAGCTGGTTGGGGGTGGGGTTGGACGGGGGCGTCTGGTGAAGCAAACCGTCGAGGAGGTAGAACTCGAGCTTCTGCTTAGACGACTGCAGGCGGTGGAGGGGGGATGGCGTTGACAATGTGTCGAGTCTTTCGTACGCTGAAATCTTGGTCACTGACGAAGCTCACGGCCAGAGAAGCCGTGTTGGGCTGTGGTGCCTTTGAGTTGACCAAAGGCTAAGTCTGGCGGTGAAAGGGGTTGATCTTATAGATCTGGGCAGACGATGCACTTGGTTAGCAAAGGATTCCTTGTATGCGCGGTTTATGCGGTTGTGGTGGTTGTGGTACTGAAAGGGGGAGATGCGGCTTGTTGTGAGAGCGATTTTATTTTGTGTGGTGGTTTTGGGCCAAATGCGTGGTAGGTTTTTCCCAAAGCTGGCGGTGCAAAAAAGCTGGCGATGACGATGCCATGTGATTGCTCGGGAAGATGCGCCACCGCGCGGGATCCGTTTAAAACAGTCGGGACTTGACTCACCAAGTAGACAAAGAAACCGGACGAAAGGGTCGAAACCAAAAAGTCCAGGCAGCTGTATCTGGATAACAATTGCAATGTTGCGAATAGCGGGAGCTGTTGCGTGGTGCGGGTTGACGATGAACCTTTGGGTTGGTGTCCTGGGAGGTAAGTGTGTGGCGGGGGGGGGAACTGTTTTTTATTGCGACGGCCGTGGAGGTCCCGGAGCCTGGAGGAGGGTTTCGTCTGTCTTCCTCAGGTTCTTTTTGGTACCTTAGTAGTGGAGCCGGGATGCGAGGTTGGCCACCCACAGTTCACGACCATCAACAGCACAACCTGCCCACAATTTTTCAAAATTTTCCCCTGTCAGCTTCACAGCCATGCTGCGCTCACACTGGGAGAGAGGGAGTGCTGATGTGCTGATGTAAGGCAAGGTACCTCGCGGCAAGGTTCAAGCCGTCTCCATAATGATGCTCGCCCGCCAAGTACCCGTCGTACCCAGTTTCAATATCCGTCCCATTCAAACAAGTTGCCTGAAGCCTAAAGCCTGAAGCTGGCAATCTCAAGTTTCTACTTCAAAGTTCGTACCCAACAAACAACGGTCCGAAAAGTCAAGCCTCGAGCACAGCAAGTTCCAAATTGTACCCGGTCCAACTGTCCAGGGGGACCAGCACTGCAGCAGCATGCCCAGTACGGATGCCGTCTCCATTTGATCCCACCAAAGCTCCAGAGTCCGGCCTCCAGAGTCTGGATACCTTCTCGTTTGCCCATTCTTCAGCGTGAGGTCATGTATGGAGTACATCCCCCTCCGTCACGTTGTCACCCCTGCAGCTCAGACACCGGAACATGCAGAACGAGGTACCGCAGTGGATGTGCTCTCTCCCCCAGCAAGTCCCAGGACCATCGCTCTGCAGTGCTTCCATCGGGAAAACCTCCTAGAGTCTCTGAAGCACAGATCCCAGCAGGTGGATGTGGAAGGCCTCAACTTGGAGGGTTGGCTATGGCTGGGAATTCCTCCACCATTACGAATTCGTTGCTGCTACTGCTGCCGTCTTTGCTTTCTTGCAGCTCCATCTGCCATGCATCACGATTCACCGCAGCCCACCACCGCCAACCAGCTGCTCTTCCCAAGTTCCATATCCCATGCGCCAATGGCCCAGTACCTGTTTGACCGTCTCTGATCTTCTTCTCTCTGTCAATCTCATGCAGGACCGTGTTGCAGCTCACACGCCTCGCGTGCCCGTACCAGATAGTCCCCCCCATCACGATCACGCTGACCCATCGGTAAATTTCCCAGACCGCAACTTGACGCGTTTCGCAGTTCGAGAAGCACCAGTTTGGAGCCTTGGACACCAGTACTCCGTAGTCTCGCTGTCATCCTCGCCCGCCCGCCCCTCCGGTTCCAATTCCATTTCCCTTGCCCCAGCTTTCACTAGCTTTAGCCTTTTAACGCCTGCTGTCAACTTGACGGCCTTAGTCGCTAGTACCCGGTGTTTCTTCCAAGTTTCCCGAGACTTGAGAGACTCGGAGTTGGTTGTGGTTGTCCACACTTGTGACTTGTG